GCCTTTGTTTTTGGTGGAATTTTTGGAACTTTTTCTGTGTGCCTTACAGTGATTTTAACTCTCGATCGCTACAGTCACATGAATCCTAACATTGAGCAACCGTCACGACTTGCTCGCTTTTTTCAGCGTCCACGCCTTTACGTGCTAATTGCAGTAGCAATTGCCATCTCCTTGTTGAACTCCACAATCTATTTTCTGACTGCCGGTTTTGCAATAGCAAGGGGAATTTTCATGCTTCTCCTCTCTATGTTTTTTGTGATTATTCTCATTTCGATGACATTTGCCTATGTTCGCGGATATCTCCGAATTCGAAATTTTGTGGATAACAGTCCTGTGTATCAAAACGAGACTGGAATGACTGTTAGGCCCCAGTATATACATCGCTTGTACAAAACTGTTTTAGCCTTCGTTGCTATAGCATTTGTTTCCTACATGCCATTGTCAATTGCAACTGCGTTGAAAGCTGTCTACGACTTGCTTAACCTAAGAGCAAAGCATCGCGTTGTCACATCATATATTCACTATTCATTTCCACTATTGTTGTCGTATCCTCTTACAAGCCCAATTATCATTCTTTGGCAAAACGAGGAAGCTCGTGCCTGGGTGAAGAGTCGCTTCTTACGCTGTGCTTGCCATGGGGCTGAGAACGCCGACGGTGCACAGACAGTTGGAGGGCGAATAGAAAACAGAACCTCACAAGATACTGACATCTAACTAGCTATGTGAATTTCGACTGGGTCAAGGGCAGACTATTCTTCATGTTCTTTTCGTCAGTTTTGATAATCTTATGAAGCTGCTGGTTTTTATTGCCAAGAAAGAAATTACCATAGACTCGTGAGATTACTTTGCAGCATTACAAGGATGAATCCAAATGGAACAAATGACCATGACCATCTCATGGCCATTGCACAAAGAACATACAACAACAATTGCAACAAATATTTGATTTCAAAAGCCTGTTGAGAAATACTGGATAGCATAAATCTTGCCTATCTTGGGATAATGTATTATGATACTTGATGGTTTGATAGTATGAAAAGAATACACTCTTTCCAGGTCTGTACATATGTGAACTAGGGTTGACTCCAAACGGCCACAAATCGATTTTTTGTTCTACTAAATTTTGTAACATGTTCGCTTGTGCCACAAATCGATAACAATATATAAGCCCACCCGCTTTCCAACTTTTAGTTCGAAATTATCGATAGATTTTCCAGCTATTTCTCCCATACTCTACAGACTATTCTTGATTTTTCAGGACATAACTATATCTACTTGAATTTACTTGAATTAGTCGCGGCGTTTCAAGTTGGTATAAGTATAAGCTATTGTTTAACGCTATTTATCTTTAGCTAACTTTTTAATTGTAATTTGACCATAAATTGTAACTATCTTTGATTGTATCTTTGAGAGATGGCTTTCCTAATTCTGTTAGCTGACTGGTAAATTCTTCAATTGCTTAATTGCTTTGAATTAGATTATAATCAAAACTGATTTTGTCCAGCTGTGCATTCACTTCCCTGTCCAGATATTCTACAAGAAAAAGCCCTAATACTCTAGATATTTTACAAGATTTTACGTAAATTCATACCCAAAATGTAAGTGGAGTTTCATAAGTATCTTAACAGTGAGCAAGGAAGAAAACTCTGGGGAAGGTTAGAAATGGTTTACAAAGAAATTCTACTTAGAGATACGGTGAGGAATACCTTCTTGCACAACCATCAAACGACCTTTATTTTATCTCGGAATCAGGAGTATGCTGATCTCATTTTAAAGAACAAAATTTCTCCTCTTAACTTCATGATGCTGATTATGTCTTTCTTGCTTTGTTGCCTCCCTTTTTTATATCTTTGACGTTTGAGAATGCAGCTTCAGGTAATTTCTTCCAGTTTGGATTGGCAGCAGACTAAAAAATCTAAGCCTATAATGATTTTATCGGATGATGACGGGTGACATTTGTCGATGAAAGGAACATATACTATTGACAGAAACCGCTGCATTCTGTTTACTGCATTTGGAAGAAAAACAACCATACTAGCAAAATAATTTATTTTGAAAAAATTCAAATAATGTGTGAGATAGAGACTGCATATTTTGATGCCAAAGTATTCTCTTCATTTCCAAAATATTGAAAACCTTTGATAACAGTATGTAGAACACCGAACAGCTTTCTTTCATCTTTTCTTGGGAGATAGTAGCCTGGAAGATAGTAGCTTGGAAGATATTTATCAGTAATGAAAGTAACTGATATGTGTTTCCATTAGTGTTTTTTATGAAATACACTACAGATTCAAAGATACCGTCTTTTCAAATGCATATCAAGTAGAAATAGGCCCAGAGCTGCTTCTTGTGCAACACTTAATTTGAGGCTTCTAATAGAGTTCATTTTAGTTTTTTAGAAAAGTCGCTGTCCATTTTATTTGTGAAAGTTCCGGCTAGCGATAATTACTATCAAGCAATTAGTCATAACGCCTAGAGACTCAATGTGTTTTCATTTAGAGAGGTTATATGATGCACTTACGAGGTAGGACATTGGTATTGATTTAATGGCAATAACTAATTAACAGTGAATGCAGCTGTCTTACAAAAATGTGTTTACTAAATTCATTATTTAAAGTTAGTGATATCGTCCTTTGCAGAGTACGTAGGAGATCTTTTTCTTATGATTTTGAATAGAAAAGAAGTCAACAGTTGACTTTTCTAATTACAAAATCGTCTTAATTTATAGGGGAAAAGAAGGTTTTCTTCTACCCGGTCGCAATTGCTTATGCTTCAATTCACGTGTATTGTCTTAAAGTTGACTGTAGGATTGCGCTATTATAAATAACTTGAAAATTTGTCTTGAAAGATAAAACGGAGTCAATATTGCAAGAATAATTGGGAAAAGCTTGAAAACCTTTGGTAAGGTCATTCATTGGCCGAAACTTATCACTGTCGGGAACCTAGAGACTGCAACAAGGATTGCACGGGAAGCCGTTTGCTCTTTCAAGATGTTCAATTGCGTAAATTCATCAAGTTATTCAGAGAGTGCTTGTAGATTGAAAAACCAATCCCTTGGTATCTTTCACGCGATTCTATCTCCTGTTATATTTTCCGTAAACCTGTTGTTAATCGTGGCGTTTTTCAAGACGAAACAAGCAATGTCTAATTCATCAAACTTCTTGATCATGTGCATCTTGGCATCAGATTTGTTGAATGGAGCAATTGCTGTGCCATTGGTCTCTTATTATAACTTCACGAGCGAACCACCGGGCTGTAACATGCCACCGGAACATGAGGCGATACTATCATTTTTTTCTTCTACTACTTTTCTTCTGACTGTTGTTCTAGCAACCGATCGCTACATTCATATGAACCCCAGCATAAAGAGACCAACGAAATGCGCCAGGATATTCAAAAGACCCTATTTGTACGTTACAGTGACACTGGTAATAGCATCTTCACTGACTTATCAGTTTTTCTGCTTGATTGTGGCTAGACGTTTTTGCCAGGCCGCTATAAAGAAATTTATTGATACTGTTGTGTTGATGACATGCTTGTTGTATTTCATTTTTTCTTATATTCATGGATATCTCCGCATAAGAAAGTTCGTTGATAATAGTCCTGTGTACCAAAATGAAACAAATCGTGCAAATCGGCCGCAGTATGTCTCTCGATTGCACAGACACATAATGGCCTTGATAATTTCCTTAATCATTGGCTACGTCCCGCTTCTGGTGCACAAATTCGTTGTTGGTGTTTATACTTTCTCAAAGATCGAGAGTGCTTCTTCGCTGGTTTGTATTTTCAATGACGTAATAATTCCAGTCTTCTTTGTAAGCCGACTTGCCAGTCCATTTATCGTCCTTTGCTACAACAAAGACATGCGCACTTGGGTAAGAACGTGCGTTCGAATGTACTTTTGCAGTCATTCCCGTACAAAAGATAACAACATTGCAACCGTACCAGACATTGGCACCGAAAATCCTTGATCAGCTGTCGTTTAAAATTTTACAGTTACTCTTAAGCTTTAGACACCTGACTGTTTTGTACAGAATCGATGAAATTGTTTTAAAGATTGATTTAGTGTATAACTGTTTCAAGTGTTTTTCTCGTTAGTTGTCTGGCTTATTTCTCTCTGCCTCTATATCTATCAGCATCGGGTATATGCTGCTCTCCGCGATGGTCTCTTATGGGTATAATAAAAAAACACATAGCTGACTACATGTTTACCTAAGTTAACAGTTGATTAGAATGCTCTTTAATTAATAGGTGAGGCATACTCTAGTCAAAAATGTTATTACCTTTTCTTTTGCCTATCAAAGTGCTTCTCAGCATGGCAGATTGCCAGCTACGCAAGTGATATATTGCTGTTATGACTCCATTTTGCATTTCTTTGCTCACTTTCAGTTCATAAATTGAGATTCTCCCTTTGGTTCTTCTTCCATCTGTTTTCTAAAAGAAGTTATCAAGCCTGGATATTCAAGAAATGCGCCTGGATATTCAAGCAAAAGAAGTGTCAAATGCTGCTACGCTTGTTTGATAGAAAATATACCCACTTTCATCGCGTTTACGCAACGAGTGCAAAATCGTACCTATGCTCAATATAGTTCCACCCCCCTCTCTCGAGGAGAGTTAACTTAACCAGGGATCAAACCTGTGCAAGTTGCGGTCACACAGCAATAAAACACAGCAATCAAGAACTGACCAATCATTGCGCGTGATCCCACTCATTTCTCTTGTTCATTGGCTAATGTTGATTAAAAGATGTTTACGCCACTTTTGTATCTGTCTATTGCCTTTAAAATAGGGTTTAACCTTGGTTGGATAGGATAGTGTAAACATGGCTTGAGCTGCTTTAACCCGAATGACAATCGTATCTGTTGTAAATGCCTTTTTGCTAATTGGTATTATGCGGAAGAACGGTTCTAGAACATTACATCCAACATTTAGATGGTGTTTAGTTCAGACCAATAGCCTAAGTTGAAGTGGATTTTTGAAGGTGGATATGCTCAGCAGAAATGTTATCAAAAATTGACCTGATAGGTCTGTGGTTGATTATTGTGGGGGATTCTACAGCGCGCATAGCAACCATTTAGTTATGTTATATTCTTAGATATATTGCTTTTTAAAGACAACAGGATTTTCTCTATTAATTATATATTGCTTTATTCACTTGAGGACTCGAAGTAGCTTAATTTGTTTTGTTATGATATTAATTTACGTACTTGTCTCCTGTTAATGTGTATGTGAACAAGGTAAAGGAAACTGATATTCGTGATGTATTTAAAACCTACGTAAGACCTTTGTATCGGTATAAGCAAATTTAGGTTCTCTGATTTGACATGTTGATTAGCTGAGTAATGTAAATTGAGTTCATAAAAGTACAGTAGGGCAGTGTTAGCGTAAAATGTGTTGAGGAAAGACGTGTAGAAAAATTGAGAAATGATGAGACAAGGCGTACATTTGAGTTTTATTTGAAGAGATTTCTTGGTTCGTGGAGAAGTAT